GATCACACCCGGCGATGCATAGGGGTTTCTCCTGGCTCTGCGCTCAGGAATCAGCCCTGGCGGTGCTCAGGGGACCCTATGGGATGCTGTGCTGGGAATCGAACCCCGGTCGACCGCGTGCAAGGCAAAAAAAACGCCCTATTTTGTGCTATTGCTCCAAGCCCCTGGACACACGTGTTTTCACTCTATGCAAATACAATTGTCACTCTCCAAAAAACAGGGCGAGTGCGGGGTGCAGAGAGATAGGAGGGCATTTGCCTTGCATGCAGCGGATCAGGGTTCGATCCTCGGCACCATATAGGGTCCCCTGAACCCCGGGGGGAGTGATCTCTAGGCACAGAGCCAGAAGTCAGCCCTGAGCATAGCTGGATATGACCCCAAAACAACACACACACACACACACACACACATACACACACACACACACACACACACACACACTGCAGGTGTGCCCCCTTCCCACTCTCCTACCCCCACCGGAGAACATGATATAATTTCAGCTTCCAAGGACCATTAGGGATTTCAGTGGTGGAACGTGGCAGGGAGGGCAGCGGCAGGTTAGAGCAAAGGTTGTAGGGGAATTGGTGTGACTCAACTGTCACACTGGGGGGTTCGCACCTCATAGAAAAAATTAGGGATTGCTCCTGGCGCTGTGCTCAGGAATCACTCCTGGTGGTGCTCTGGGGACCATATGTGGTGCCAATGACCCAACCATGGCCTGCCACATGCAAATCTAGATTGATTGCATGCAAAGTAGGCATCTTACCTGCTGTACTTGCTCTCTTACCCCAAGAGAGGGAGTTTTGAAGGTTGAATCTAATGGCTATGGGCAGCCACAAAACTGTAGCTATAACATTGCATAGAGGGGCCAGAGAGATAGTACAGTGGGTAGGGCACATGCCTTGCATACAGCTCACCTGTGTTCCGATTCCAAACACCCCATTGGCTCCCAAGTCTGGCAGGAGTGATGCCTCAATACAGAATACAGAGCCAGGAGTAAGCTCTGAGCACAGCACCCCTCCTCATCCCTCCCCCCCAAAGGAAAGGATGAAAATCGAAGTCACCACTACGAAGACCATTGCTGGCCCCTGCCTGCTAGGCTCTGTTCTAAACTCTTTTCATGCAGCTCATGAGCTCAATCTTCCTTAGGACCCTCTGAAGCAGACCCATTTAAACTCTGTTTTACAGCAAAAGAACCTAAGTTAGCATCCACTAAGCCTTTGTCACGAGTCAGGCGCTTAAAATATCTCAGGAAGACTCTCATCGAATCTCCCATCGAATCTCTGCAGCTGCCTTATGCTGTTACTATTATTATCCTTGTTATCAGGATGGGCTGGGGGGGGTGGTGTCTGGGAAGCAGAGGGTTCTGTCCCCCTCATGCTTGCTAAGGCTTGGGCTCAAAACCTGGCACCCTCGCCCCAGAGTGTGCACCCAGTTGTCTTTCGCAGGCTCACCCCAAGAGTATTGGGCGTTGGGGGCCAGAGAGCTGGTATAGGGTTAAGGCACATGCCTTGCATTCACCTGGCCCTGGTTTGATCACCAGTACCCCAGTTTGATGATGTGCTCATAGCATCATCGTAGGGCGGGGGCCTCCTGTGCCTCCCAGCTGAGCATGAAGGACACAGCCCAGGTAATCCATGGCACCGCAGGGCCAAGCAGCACTGCATCCTCGGACCTTTCTGGAATAACCTGGGGCCGAGAATCTACCAAAGCCTTCTCCTCACCCTCCTCAATTCTGTTTTAAGCCCCACCCGGTCAAAACAAAAGATTGAGCTGTCATGGAATTAAAAAAAAAAAGGGGGGGGGTTAAGACAAGCACTCTGGGGAGAGGTGACCACAGCGTAGGGTAACCAAGGTGAACCGTGAAATCCGATTCCCGGGTTGGCCAACGGGGAAGCGGAGGACCACGCTCGCACGCCCAGTTCCGGAGCCGGGGGCGCGCAGGGTGGCAGGCTGCAGGGATTGGCGGAGTGGGAGGAACAGGAGCCAATCAGCGTTCTCCCCGTCTCCTCCCGCCTCCTGGGCCGGCCCCCGGTAGGCGGGGCCATGCGCCTTGGCTCCGCCCAGCTCCCCCGCGGCTGGCGAGCAGGGTCAGAGCCTGGCTCCACCTGCCCCAATTGCTGGAGTGACCCGAGGCTCCCGGCTCAGCCTGGTAGGCCCAAACTGCCCGAGTCACCCTGGTACCAGAGTGGGACCTCGAAATCAGCGTGTCCACCTCCCCCCGTCCCCGGCGCCCCGCACAGAACTCCCTCCTAACGTCAGTTCCCGGGCTGCCCACGCAGCGCAGGACATCGGGGTGGGTGACACGCCAGACCCGGGAACGTGGGGGTCGGGAGCTCCTTAATCAGAACCTACCCCGGCAAGCCCCGCCCGGCGCATTCCGGCTCTCTCCAGCCCCCCCCCTCGAGTCTAGCGGAGATCAAAGCAGCCCGTTGCCCCGGGCAACGCTAATTGACCGCAGCATCCGGTGTCTTTATTGCTCTGCAACAAAGTTACTTACGCTCTTGCTAGAGTTCTCTAATCGCTACCCGGGGTCCCTCCGGCGGCCCCGGGTTCGGAGCTCACGCCTCGCGGGCCAGCGGCTGCGCTGAGCTCTGCCCAGCCCGGGTTCTGCGAGCCGAGCCGGGCAGGGAGCCGCTGACGCTCCTTCCTTTCCTCGGGGACTCGCTGGATTCTGTCAACAGAGCAGTGACCTAGGAGACCGTCCTGTCTCTTGGCAGGCTAGCCCTGCCAGGGGCCCGGAGCTGAGCTGCCCTGGGGACCCGTGCCCCCAGACCCTTGCCCATCAATTCTGGGCTGTTAAGACTGCAGATCCACCCCAGGAAGCCAGCCAGACCTGAAGTCCGATGGGTCTCTGGTTCACTGACCTGGAACGGTTTTACAGAACACGCCAGAATGCGTGTTTTGGGGGGCTGCTGTGGGGGAGTTTTGGAGGGGGCCAGGCACCCGCCCAGAGAGGAGCTTCCTGGCCTTTAGTCTCTCAGCAACCTCTTACAATGCTCTTATCAAGGTGATCACCGGATTTGGGGATTTGGGGGGAGGTCCTATGACCCTAATTTCTTCTCTTCATATATTTCTTTATTGGTAAGTCATTGTCACTGTCTTCCCATTGCTGATCGATTTGCTCTAGCGGGCCCAGTAACGTCTCCATCGTGAGTCTTGTTACTGTGTTTGGCATATTGAATATGACACGGGGAGCTTGCCAGGCTTTGCCGTACGGGCGAGATACTCTCTGTAGCTTGCCGGGCTCTCCGAGAGGGACGGAGGAATTGAACTCGGGTGGGTTGGGCTGGCTGTGTGCAAGGCAAACGCCCTACTGCTGTGCAATAATAATAATAATAAATATTAATAAATGGAATGCTTCACGAATTTGCATGTCATCCTTGCACAGGGCCATGCTAATCTTCTCTGTATCGTTCCAATTTTAGTATATGTGCTGCCGAAGCTCACATGGGTAGGGCCTTGCACGCGGCCAATCTGACCAACCCGGGTTCAATTCGTCCGCCCCTCTCAGAGAGCCTGTCAAGCTACCGAGAGTATCTCGCTCACACGGCAAAGCCTGGCAAGCTCTCCGTGACGTATTCAAATATGCCAGACACAGTAACAACAAGTCTCACAACAGTGATGCTACTGGGCCCACTCGAGCAAATTGATGAACAACGGGAGGGCAGTGACAGTGATTAATAAATGATTTAAATAAATCTTAATAAATTCGAATTTATTCTCTTCATATATTCTTTATTGGCATCAACGCTGCTGTGCTCAGAGGTCACTGCTAGCTGGGTTCAAGTGCCAGGGATCAAAGCTGGGTAGGCGGCATGCAAGACAAGGGCTTTAGCACCTGCACTGCATGAGGGGTTGGAGCGATAGCACAGCAGGTAGGGCGTTTGCCTTGCAAGCGGCCAATATGGCCGACCCGAGTTCGATTCCTCCAACCCTCTCGGAGAGCCCGGAAAGCTACCGAGGGTATCTCGCCTGCACGGCAGAGCCTGGCAAGCTACCCGTGACGTATTCAATATGCCAAACACAGTAACAACAAGTCTCACAATTTGTTGTGAGATGTTACTGGTGTCTGCTTGAGCAAATCGATGAACAACGGGAGGACAGCAGTGACAGTGACTGCATGTAACAAAAAGACAAAGCTTGGGGGCCACGTCCAGTGTACTGGGGTGGGGGGCAGGTGGTTCCTGGGATCAAACCCAGGCCTCCTGTTAGTACAGCCTGTCACCACCCCAAAGCTTCCCCCATTTTATATATTTAATGTCCCCCCCATTATATGGTTTTTTTGGGCCACCCCCAGTGATGCTCAAGGGCTTACTCCTGGCTTTGCGTTAAGGGACCACACCTAGCAGGGCTCCGGGGACCCCGTAGGGTGTGTGCTTCAAACCCGGGTCGGCGTGTTCAAGCTCTCTAGCTCGGGCCCCATCCAGGGGTTTTTAAGGCAGCATCCCAGCCACCACATACGAGGCCAACTACTCCGGCTGACTGTCCACTCTCGCTCCCTTCGGCCAGACGGTCTGGGAGTCCAGGCAGGGAGGCTTCTGCATCAAGTACTCAGTGTGGCCACCCCACCGCCAACCTTTTTCCAAAAGGTCAAGGGTCTGGAGCAATAACGCACAGCCGGTAGGGCATTTGCCTTGCACGCGGCCGACCCGGGTTCGATACCCAGCATCCCATAGGGTCCCCTGAGCACCGCCAGGGGTGATTCCTGAGTGCAGAGCCAGAAGTAACCCCTGTGCATCGCTAGGTGTGACCCCAAAATAAACAAAGTGTTTTAAAAACAAAAGGCCATGCCAGGAACGGTCCCCGACAAGTTGTCCCGAATGGAGCGGCGGTAGCCGAGGACCGCCGGCCGCAGGGGTCGGGGGCAGCGGCGGCGAGAGTCCCGCAGGGAGCCAGACTTCGCCCCCCACCGCCCACGCGGCCGCCGGCCCGGCTGAGAGCAGTCGAGAGGCGGCCTCCCGCGGCCTAGCGGCGCCCGCCGCGCGGCCGCTCTGCCCTGCCGCGCCTCTATGGCGGGGTCGCGCCGTGCGGGCGCGGGGCGGCATGAGCGCGGGCTGCGGCGGCGGCGGCGGCGGGGTCTCGGGGGTCGCGGCGCGCTCCCGGGACGGCAGCCCTGGCGGGGACGGCTTTGCCCCGTCGGCGCTGGGGACCCGAGAGCAGTGAGTGCGGCGGGGCCTGGGCTGGGCTGGGCGGCGGGGGGTGGGGAGCGGGCCGGGGGGGCGGGGGGCTGCAGCCCGGGGGTCGCGGGGCGGCCTTGCCAGGGAGGGGCGCGTGCCCAGGCTCGCGGGGTGCGGGGCGGGCCCAGGACCCCTCCCCGCCGGAGAGGCCCGGGGGTGCCCCTCGCGGGTGCAGGAGCGTCGGTGGGGGCGTCTCAGGGGGGGCTAGTGAAGGGGAGGGGGGCGTAAATCGGGGCGTCGCCCCCTACAGCGGGCGGGGGTCCGCCCCGGGCTGGGCCGAGCTGATCTGGGCCGGTGCGGTGGGACCGTCGGAGCCCCAGAGCCCAGGGCACTTAATAGAAGACTCGTTTTTTTTTTTTGGGGGGGGTCACACCTGGAGATGCTCAGGGGTCACTCCTGGTGGTGCTCGGGGGACCCTATGGGTTGCTGGGAATCGAACCCAGTGCTGCCTCGTGTCAGGCAAACGTCCTACCTATTGCTCTGGCCCAAGAGTCGTTTTTTTTTTTTTTTTTGCTTTTTTGGGTCACACCCGGCGATGCACAGGGGTTCCTCCTGGCTCTGCACTCAGGAATCACTCCTGGTGGTGCTCAGGGGACCATATGGGATGCTGGGAATCGAACCCGGGTCGGCCGCGTGCAAGGCAAATGCCCTACCCTCTATGCTATTGCTCTCAGCCTCGAGTCGTATTTTTAAAGCTTTTTTTGAAAATTATTTTGGTGGGGCTGGAGTGAGAGCACAGCAGGGAGGGCGTTTGCCTTGCACTCGGCCAACCCGTGTTCCATTCCCAGCATCCTCTATGGTCCCCTGAGCACTGCTAGGGGTAATTCCTAAGTGCAGAGCCAGGAGTCACCCCTGTACATTGCCCGGTGTGACCCAAAAAGGAAAAAAATTTATTTTGGTTTGGGGGCCATGCCCGACTGCACAGTGCGGGCTCTGGGACCCTATGGGATGCCGGGGGTGGGACCAACATTCCTCCATGCAAGACAAATGCAGTCGCTGCTGTACTATCGCTCCAGCTGATGAACAATGTTTTATTTTATTCTTTGCTTTTTGAGGTCACACCCGGCGATGCACAGGGTTTCTCCTGGTTCATGCACTCAGGAATTACTCCTGGCGGTGCTCGGGGGACCATATGGGATGCTGGGAATCGAACCCGGGTCGGCCTGGTTCGGCCGCGTGCAAGGCAAAAACGCCCGACCCAATCTGCTGTCGCTCCAGCCCCTGATGAACATGTTTTAAACATCTTTCTTGAGCATCCCTGTAATGTGTTAGAAATGCCATGTGCGATTCTTCATGAAGTCTAATCCCAGATTCTTGCTTTGCCTTTGGCTTCTTAACTAGCTGGGATTCTGTCTATGAGCGAGAGCTGGAGACCTTCCAAGAGTATGGAGACTGCGGAGAAATCTGGTGAGTTAGACAAATATATATATATATATATATATATATATACACACACACACATATATGGGAAGCACATGTGGATCTTTCTTTTATTTATTTATTTTTAAATTTTTTTGGGGGTCACACCTGGCGATGCACAGGGGTGACTCCTGGCTCTGCACTCAGGAGTCTCTCCTGGCGGTGCTCAGGGGACCATATGGGATGCTGGGAATCGAACCCGGGTCAGCCGCATGCAAGGCAGATGCCCTACCCGCTGTGCTGTCTCTCCAGCCCCGGATCTTTCTCTTTTTTCTTTATTTTTATTATTTTGGGTTTTCGACCACGCTGATGATGCTCAGGGCTACTTCGCTTGCTTTGGACTCAGGAATCACTCCTGGCAGTACCCGGGGGCTGTATGGGATGCCGGGGATGCAGCCTGGGTCCAGCTGTGTACAAGACAAGCGCTCTGGCCTCTGTGCTGTTGCTCCAGCCATGGATCTTTTTTTTAATTCATTTTTTTGGAGAGGGCCGCTCCCAAAGCTTACTCCTGACTCTGCTCTTTAGGGATCACTCCTGGCAGTGCTAGGGGGACCGTGTGGGGTGCTCGGGTGCAAGGCCTTCTCCACTGTACATTTTCTGGTCCCTACTTGATTTTACTGTTTGGTTTTGGGACCACGCGCCACAGTCCTCAGCACTGCCTTCAGGCTCTGAGCTTAGAGATCGCTCCTGGGGTGCTTCCGGGGAGCAGTTTGAGGCGTCAGGGATCTAAGCAGGTCTGCTGCCTGACTCACAGCCAGCGCCCTGCCCGCTAACCCCACACATGAGTCTTCTGAGTGCTTGCCTCAAAGGAAGCCCAACAGTCTTAGAAACCTTGGACTGATTCTGATTTTGGTAGATTATTAGTAGCTCTCTTCTCTTTTTTTTAATAGTTCAGGTTTAAATTTTAGGAGAGTATTAGGAAGTTTTTTTTCATCCTATAGTCATTTTTCAATAAGCATAAAATTTTGAGGAGCTGATATGTATACATGTTAATGCTGTTTTATAGAAATAAATAGGCAACAGACTGGCCTTATGAGGTTTTCTTCCCTTATATTTATTTATTGAATCACTGTGGGAAAAGTTACAAAGCTTTCAGGTTTAAGTCTCTGTCATACAATGATCAGACACCTTTCCCTTCACCAGTACTCATTTTTCACCGCCAAGAACCCCAGTATACCCCTCCTCCCACCCCTCCAAATGCCTGTGAGGCAGATGATTTCTACTTAACTTTTCTCTACATTGATTACATTCATCATTTTGACAAAAGATGCACCATTATTGTTTAGAATTTCCCCCCCAACAATCAGAATTGCTGAAAAGCCATTGTGAAATACTTTGTTTTCTATAGCTGGTTACGAGAATCATATAATGATTTTGGATTTCTGCAAAGAGCCAGATAATTATGAGATTGGTTTCTGTGCGTCTGGTGTTGTGGCTGTGCCGGAGAGCCACTTGTGGGGGGCAACTCGTGAGCTCGGTAGGGCATGAAGGACGAGCCGGTACCACCCCCTTTCCCATGAGACTGCAGTTGCCCCGTCACCGCCGGCTCATTCCTGGCTTTCCTATAAGCTCTGAGGCGGCAGCCACCTTGCTTCCAGGGTTTAACGCATGGTTCATTCACTTTTCTGCCGCAAGCTGCTGGGCTCTGGACTGAATCCTTTTGCCTCTGGAGCCATGGCCGTGCTGGAGAGCCACTCATGGGGGGCAACTCGTGACCTCGGAAGGGCGTGAGAGACAAGCTGGTACCGCCCCTCTTCCCATGAGACTGCAGTTGCCCCCTCACCGCCGACTCATACCTGGCTTTCCTATAAGCTCTGAGGCGGCGGCCACCTTGTATGTGGTCCAGACGCATTTCTGCCAAAAGCCGCTGGGTTTCGAGATTTGTTTCTGAGTCCCTGGGATCGTGGCCGTTAATCAGCTTGATCAGGAGCCAGAGAGGCCGTTTGTAGGCGGCGACTCGGGGGTCTCGCTGGGATGGGGAGGAAAGGGCCAGTTCTACTCCCATCTGGTAAGGCCCTGCGTGTCTTGTCACTGCAGGCCCAAACCTGACTGTCCAGTGACCTCTGAGGATGGCGGTCACCAGGCCGCCAGGGGGAACAGGCCAAGACATGAAACCTATTCCCACCTGGAGTGGCCCAGCGTCAGTAACCTACTGCAGACACAGGATGCATTTTTGCCAAAAGCCTTTGGGTTCCGAGATTCGTTTCTGAGTCTCTGGGATGATGGCCGTTAAGCAGTTCGATCAGGAACCAGAGAGGCCATGCCTCCAATTATATAGCTGAGCCGGAGGTGGTTTGTGGGTGTGTCTCCCACATACCTAACTTTTGGCCATTTACTTTCTTGGTAAACTTTGCCCCAAGTTTTTGGGGTCTGGCCAAAGGCACAGCAGCAATTTTGGGGTATCTGGAAGTCTGAAGGCGCCATCAGGCTGCTGATGCACTCGCCTCACAGGTACACATTGACCTGCTGGCGGCACCATACCCCCAAGTTATTCTTTCTGGGGGGGTGTCATTTTGATAACAGAAATGAAACTTAAACAGTCATATGTGCTACTTTTTTTTTGTTGTTGTTCTTGGACCACAGCCGGGAGTGCTCGGGCTTTCTCCTGGCTCACTCCTAGTGGGCTCTAGGGGTCAGTTATGTCCAGCTTTACTAGCTGGACTGTCTCTCCACCAAATTTTATTTCTTTTTGTTGGTTTGTTTTTGGTTCACACCCAGGATATTCAAGGGTTACTCCTAGCTCTGCACTTAGGAATTACTTCTGGTGGACCTCAGGGAACCATACGGGGTGCCAGGGATTGAACCTTGGTTGGAAAAGGGACCCTTTTACTATTTTTCACTATTTACTTGCCTGTATACTATTTTTCCAGCTCCCCCCGATATTATTTCATACTTTCATGAAAGATAATTGGGACTCTGGAAGAACTGCTTTGTGTGGAATATGATTGTGACTTTGCTCTGTAACTTCTTCGTTATTGGACTCATTGATTTCTCTCTCATAGGTTTGGAGAAGAGAGTATGCAGCGACTAATAAGGTGGATGCAAAAAGCCAAGATTCCGTTGGACGCTGCAGTGCTTGATATTGGAACTGGAAACGGTGTTTTCCTGGTGGAACTTGTTGGTACTTTTAATATTCTAGTGATACAACCAAATTGCAAAGTGAAATTAAAAAAATTAAAAAGAAATCTTGCCACTGAAAATACTAAGTGGCAAGTCTCAAATATTCAAGTAATTGGGGGTTGGAGAGACAGTATGTACAGTGGGCAAAATGCTTGCCTTGCACAAGGGTCTAAAAGTCAAAAGAGAAATATCCAAGTAATCATACCACGATGGGAAGTCACAGGTGCTAAAGGGAGACTTTTGGGGACTGTGGGAAAGAACCAAGAAAAAGTCTGGAGGTCTGAGCATAGCTGGCTCTCAGGAATAGCTTTCACAGTGAGTAAGCTGCTCATTTTTTTTTTCTTTTTGGGTCACACCCGGCAATGCACGGGGGTTATTCCTGGCGCTCTGCTCAGGAATTACCCCTGGCGGTGCTCAGGGGACCATATGGGATGCTGGGAATCGAACCCGGGTCGGCCGCGTGCAAGGCAAACGCCCTCCCCGCTGTGCTATTGCTCCAGCCCCTCATTTTCTTTCTTTTTTTTTATTATTATTTTTTTAATTAAATTTATTTATTTATTTTGATTACCCTTCCCTCCACCAGTAACCATTTCCCACCACCACGGATCCCAGTATCCCTCCCACCCCCCATTCCATCCCCATCCCACCCTGCCTCTGTGGCAGGGCATTCCCTTTTGTTCTCTCTTTCCTGTTCGGTGTTGTGGTTTGTAAAAGAGTTAAGCCTGATTTTCAGGGAGAAACGTTGGAGAATTTACTTTCCAGTGACCACTTCATATATAAGATGTCTAAGCGGCCACGCGGTTGGGAATAAGAGTCCTGGTTCCTGCATAAGTGTCATTTTCTGGGTTTAGTTCTTAAAGACTTTTTTTTTTTTACTTTTGGGGTCATACCCAGTGATGCTCAGGGTTTACTCCTGGCTCTGGACTCAGGAATTACTCCTGTCGGTGCTCGGGGGACCATATGGGATGCTGGGCATTGAACCCAGGTCAACCGCATGCAAGGCCAATACCCTGCCTGCTGTGCTATTGCTCCAGCCCCTGGGGTTAGTTCTTAAAGGGTTTTTTTGTTTGTTTGTTTGTATTTTGGCTTTTTGGGTCACACCCAGTGATGCTCAGGGGTTACTCCTGGCTTGAGGGACCATATGGGATGCCAGGGATTGAACCGCTGTGCTATTGCTCTGGCCCAGTTCTTAAAGGTTTTGATGAGATGATCTCTCTCTCTCTCTCTCTCTCTCTCTCTCTCTCTCTCTCTCTCTCTCTCTCTCTTTTTCTCCCTCCCTCCCCCCTTTCCCCCTCTCCTTTCCTCCCTCTGTCTCTGTCTCTCTTTCTCTCTCTGTTTCTCTGACTCCCCTCCCCCCGTGGCCCTGTACTCCCTGTCCTGAGAATCGAATCCCCGGGTGCTGCATGCAAGACATCAACTTCACTGTTGAACCACATTCCTGCCCCTAAATTAGGTGACCTGTTTTACTCGTTTCTTGTTCCGAACTCAAAACAGCTTTATGACAAAGATGTTTTCTGTTCCTTCCAGTCGGATATAGATCATACACTTGGCATGCGTGTATTTTTGAAGTTTGTTTTTTGGGGGCGACGCCTGACTCCCGGCTCTGTGCTAGGGGTGCCGGCAATCAAACCCTGGCCAGCTGCTTACATGGCAGGCACCCTCCTCACTGTACTGTCTTTCCAGCCTGCAGACATAGAGTTCCAAAAAAAAATGTGACTGCCTCCCCGTGCCAAGCTTCATGCCGGGATCTGGCAACATGAAACTTTAGAACTTGTACTTGAGTTGTTTGTGGTGTTGTCGAGAACAGACTGACGTAACTAGGCAAACAGCGCCCGGGAGATGGTATAGAGCGAAGGTGCTCGCCTGGTGTGTTCCAGCTGGGTTTGAGCCCAGCACTGCAGAGCACCTGGAGTGCACACGGGGGCCCGCGTGTGGTCACAGAAATACCGAAAAATACCGACCGTGGTGAATTTTGACCAAGGAGGGGTCCTGAGGAGTCCGCAGCTGCGTCGGGGGTAGACTGAGGGGCAGGTGTGGTGAGCGGGGCTGTCGAGTTTCAGGAAGGGGAGACGCTGAGTCGAGGCAGGAAGGTTGGAGCAGCTTGGCAGGCAGTGGCCTGGAAGTGTGTCAGTGAGTTGGTGTGCAAAGTGCACGTGGGGGACCGCCAGAGAGGAAGGTCGTGTTAGGGCAGGGTCACCTCTGGCTCAGGGTCTGACGTGTAGGTTGTTGGGAGCCGTGAAAGTGTTTGAGGAGGGGCCACGGACATGGCACTGGGATTGAGGGCACGTGTGGCCAGACCACTAGGCTCCCCAGCTCCATGCCGTCCCCGAATGTCCCTGGGAGCAGCCTGGAGACCCCGGGCTCTGCTGGGTATAGCCCTGGAGACCCCCGAGTACTGTTGGGTACATAGCCCAGGAGGGCCCCAGCACCCCAGGGTGGCTTGGGTAGTCTTTGGCCACATGGGGCCTGACAGGACATGCTCCTTGGCCCTGGTGTTGGCCTGAGACCTGCGTGTGTGAGACGCACCAAGGGGCACCTGGTCCTCCTGCAGAGGTCGCAGTGCTGCGTGCAAGATCCTGTCCCTGGCCCCCCCCATCACTGTGTGGCCCCCGGAACACAGTATATGGGGCTCCCCAGGAACCAGACCACGTGTGACACAGGAATTTGTCACAAACTTTTCCGAACTGCAGAAGTGTAGGACGCTTACATTGGAGCACCTGGGCTATGGCTCGGTGAGTTACCATCAAGTGTTACCATCAAGCTCCCCCATCAGCGAATCGAGCCAGCAAAACAGCCAAAGGGCCTTTGGGCTGTTTCCGGTGTTGTGAGTCGTGCCCAGCTGTCTTTCACGCTGGCTGTGCTAGTTGGTACTTGTATTGGCAGCCTGAGAATTTCAGTTGCTTCACAGCCTTATCACCTGGCCACCTCCCTCATCGGTGTAGAAGTCCCAGCCATCGTCACTGGAATGCGTTGTTATGACGTGGTTTTACCCCCTTCTCTGTGCGAAAGATGCCGGGTGTATTGTCCTGTGTGTTTTCGGCTCTCGGGCTGATCTTCTTGTTTGTTTGCCTTTGGGCTCGACCCAGCTGTGCTCAAGAGTTACCCCTGGCTGTGTTGCTCAAGGCTACTCTACTCCCAGCTGCCCCCAGAGCCTGTGTGGAACCAGGGATTGGCCCGGGTCGGTTGCACCCAAGGCAAGCGCCTTTAAGACCAGGAGGAGGAAATCTACCTACGGGATCTGCAAAGATGCTTTTCTTTGGGATTGTCTAGAGTCTCTAGAAGTTTGGTTTCCTGCTTCCCTCTTCACCTGTTGCAGATGACGGGAGTTTGAGTTCAGGCTTCCTTCCCCTCGAGATGCAGATGACGCCCACCACTTCTGGGACGCTCCTTCTTGCCCGCGGGCGTCAGAGCCAGGAAGGGGAGCTGTCTGAGCGCTTCTGGAAACCTCTCTTCTGGTCCTTCCTGTCTGCTCCTCCTGTGCCAGGGCCTCGCTGTCCTGATCTTGGGGGGACAGATGGGGGGGGCACGTAACACGAGCCAGAGCACGGGCTCGGATCTGACCCGGCACCCCATGTGCAGAGCCTGTGCTCCAGCCTGTTCGCTGTCTCCCCGCCTGGAGTTGTATTGATCTGGGGCTTTTGTGCCACACTGGGCGGTGCTCAGAGATGCCCGCAGGCTCTGTGCTCAGAGGTCACCTCCTGGTGGGGCATCCAGATCTGGGCCTGGGGGGTTCACCGGATGTAGTAGGTTGTAAGGCCAGTGCTCCGCCACTTGTGTCTCTCCAGGCCCCCTGGATTTTATTTTTGCTTGATAAAACACGGCTTAGAATGATTACACCTTTCACTTGCTGACTGGCTGGGGCTCTGGGATGTCCTATGCTCTTAGCGATGGTCTCCTGGGTACCCCTGGTTTCAACACTCCACCCATCACTCGTGTGCTCCTGTCCCTCCCCAGGGGCCCCCCACTTAACTGGGGGTGTGGCGGTGAGCACAGCTGCCTCCCAAGGGCCCTGCTGCCCCTCCCCCCGCCTCCCCCCAGTTCAGTCGTGTGGGTCCGTCCTCCTCCTGTTGCTTGGGGCCCTGTTCCCCCCTTGCCGTGCATGCACCCCACGTCGGGTGCTGTCATTCAGTGCCTTCCTCTGGCCAGCCTCTCCCAGCGCCATGTCCTCTAGTTCTCGCCATGTCCAGGCCAATTGTGTGGCCTGGTTTTATTTTTTATTTTTAAAGAGTTTTTCTTAGAGTTAGATAGTTAGAATCATGACATTTTAGGAAGAAAAAAAACCCACAAAACATCCTGATGAGGCTGGAGCAGTTGTGCAGGCAGCCGACTCAGGTTCGATCCCCGGCATCCCATAATCCAACCCCCCCAGCACCGCCAACAGTAACCCCTGAGCGTTGCCGGGTGCGGTCCCCCACCCCAAAGAAAAGCACCCTGAGATTTTGCTTCTGCTTCTGTCGGACTTAGGGCTCAATTCCAGGAGGGTTTCCTTTCCCCGTTATTGGGTCCGGAATCCACCACCACGCTCCCCTCTTTCTCTGTGTTCTTGATTTTCTCTCTAGGGAGTTTACATCTTTTTTTAGATTTCTTCCCAGTGATTTGTTGTTTTTGTGTTGACTTGCTAATGTATTGACTTTCACATTTCTGTTATGTGTCTGTGCATGTTTGGGTTGGGTTGTTTTCCTGGTGCTGGGACTCAAACCACCTTCCCCTGGCCTCTCTCTCCCGCCCTGGTGGTGGTTTTATTTGGGTTTCCGGTAGGAGGGTTTCTTACTCTTCTGTTTCGTCTGGGGGATACACCTGGTGGTGCTTAGGGCTTAATCCTCACTCTGCACCCGGGGGTCACTTCTTGAGTTGCTTACGGGGACTAAATAGGGCGCCAGAAACGGAACCCAGGTCGGCTGCATGCACGGCAGGCGCCCTGGTCTCTAGGAGGTTTCCCGGTGTTAGTTTTCTGGAATTCCTTTGGTTTTCAGTCGTCTGTTATTTCCTTGAGTGACTGCTTATTTTTCAGTGCGTGCCAGAGATTGAGCATGAAAAATGTCAGAGATAGTTTGGGACTTCAGGAGATTGTCCTTGAAATCGAAAACATTCCTTAATCAGTTCCCCTGAAGAATAGACAGACATAGTCTGGCAAGAGGGGCTGGTAGGAGGCAGCTAGTAGATTCATCCCAGGATCTAGATCTGCTGGAGAAAGGAACTGAGAAAAAGTTGGGAGAAAAGTCTGCTCTGGAAGAGAACCGACCAGACGGCCGACGGAGGAGAAGGAATGGGAGATACCCAGATTCAGCAGGAGGAGAAGCCAGGGGGCAGCGGGCGCCGTGACTGTGTTACTTGACTTCGGAGTCAGCCTGTGATTCAGGGTCAAAAGCCCACGGCGGTCAGGGTGGCGTGGGAAGGGGGTGAGGCCTGCAGGAAGGCACTGGGTGGAAACGGTGGAGATCGCGAAGGGATGTCAGTGGTGTGACACTTGCAGCTTTCCTTTGAAAGTGCTTAGACCTGATTGGTTTAAAAATGTTCCTTAGGGGGACTGGAGTGACAGTACAACGTGTCGGGTGCTTGCTTTGCATGCTGCTGCTCCAAGTTCAGTCCCGGGTACCCTCTATGGTCCCCCAGTCCCCACCAGGAGTGATCTCTGAGCACTGAGCCAGGAATCAGCCCTGAGCACTGGCCATCTGACCTGAACACACACACACACACACACACACACACACACACACACACACACATGCACACGAAGGCCCAGGCCCTGAGCACCGGCCATATGGCCTAATCACACGCACACACATACACCAGAGCCCAAATGGCCTGAACACACACACACACACACACACACACGCACACACAGACACACAGACACGCACACCCAGGCCCAGGTGAGAGCTTCGTGGGCTGGAGTGCATGCTTTGTAAGTTGGAGGCTGTCCAGGTGTGACCACAAGACGGACAGGGGCCCTGGTGTTGGGGTGGGAGGGATGACCAGAGCCTTTTTTGCCACAGGCCCAGCTCTTCCATGGCTCAGGTCCATTTTGGGGGGTCAGTGAGCTTCAGTGATGGGGGCGCAGTTTAACCTCCCGCTTCTTACTGCACACATTTCTTTGGAGGGACCCACACCCAGCAGTGCTCAGGGGTGCCTCCCGGCTCTGCACTCAGGAATCACTCCTGGCAGTGCTCAGGGGACCCTGTGACATGCCAGAGATCGAACCCGGGTTGGCTGCACGCAAGGCAAACGCCCTCCCCGCTGTACCATCACACCGGCCCCACTGCACACGTTTTCAATAAAAGTTCCTTGGAAGGCATGAGATGTTTCAGAAACAACAGTCTGATAATCAGTCAGTGGGTAGAGATTGGAGTAATTTATAATTACACTGAAGGAAAAAAAATTTATGGAGGAAAAACTTTGACCTTCTACACATACACTTAATCTATTCACGATCACGATCATACTATTGTTCGTCGATTGCCTCGAGCAGGCACCAGTAACGTCTCCTTCATCCTAGCCCTAAGATTTTAAAAAGTGCCATATTCAAGGCTCTTTCAGGGTTAGGAGAATGAGACCCGTCATTGTTACTGGTGTTTGGCATATTGGGTACGCCACGGGGAGTTTGCCAGACTCTGCTGTGCGGGCAGGGCACATTCGGTAGCCTGCCGGGTTGTCCAAAGTAAGAATGAGATAATAAGATGTCGCTTCCGGGATCTGGGTTTTATGGTCTCTGGGTCTTGGCCGTTGATGGGATTACACGGTGCCGGGGACAGTTGGTGGGTGTGACCCCCGCCTACTGGAATTTGGAGGATCTGGGTGGAGGATGCTCAGCCCCGATCCGAGCAGGCTTGGAGATCTCAGCCCCGGGACCCGCATGCCTGTGTTCCTCTGCCAGTACCTTCATGCGTGTGGAGAGTGGTCTCAGCATGGTTGTGGCTGGTTCTGGAGGTCTTCGACTGCCGGGGCTCTGCTCGGGGTTGGGAGGGAAACTCAACCCGCCCCCCTCCAAGGGGCCCCGTCGAGGACAGCCAGGCACGGGGGCAGGAGACTCTGCGCTGTTCTCTTCCGGGATCTGGGTTTTATAGTCTCTGGGTCTTGGCCATTATATGAATTATATGAGTAATGAGTTATATGAATAGATTAAGTCAATGGCCAAGACTTAATCTATTCATATAACTTAATTACGTTAAGTAAAATTTATTAGGTTTTATGTGAATTAGAGTGTATCAGATGTTAATACTTTTTTCTGCTTTAGGGCAGAAATCGTGTACATATATTCTCATTTCTTTGAGAAAGTCAGTTTCTTTTTGAAGGAGAAATAAAATACTATAAAAGCAAATGAATTGTCACATATAAATTTGAACTTTAAGTTTCTACTTGGCTTCGACAATAAAATTGAAGCATTGCAAGTTACTGGCTAGCATATGTCACCTGATCTATTCAAATAAATAAAGTTGTCCCAGTCTTATTTCATATGCAGAAGATTATATTAAAACACTCTAAAGCGGAAGTAGAAAATTATTTCTTTTGTCTCCAGGCAAAATGTGGTTTCTCTAATATCACTGGAATTGATTACTCCCCATCTGCAATACGACTGTCTGGAAGTATCATAGAGAAAGAAGGGTTAGCGAACATTACATTGAAGGTAACTATTACCGGAACTTGTTTTTACTTATAATAAAAGTTGTTAAGTTTAAATGCTTTAAGGATGTATTAACTTGCGGGGGCTGGAGTGATAGCACAGCAGGTAGGGCATTTGCCCTGCACGTGGCTGACCCGGGTTCGATCCCCGGCGTCCCATATGGTCCCCCGAGCACTGCCAGGGGTAACTCCTGAGTGCAGAGCCAGGAATAACCCCGGAACATCGCCGGGTGTGACCCAGAAAGCAAAAAAAAAAAAGAAAAAGAAAAAAAGATGTATTAACTTGCTCTGGCATCTTGGAACTAGCTTCCTGCTCCTGAGATGTGGCCAACTGTCCTGTTCTGTCCGTCTGTCTGTCTTTTGCTTAGGCTGTTGTTGCCCCTTCCGGCTTGTTCCCTTAGCTCTTCGCTCATATACCTTTTTTTTTTGGTTTTTGGGTCACACCTGGCTATGCTCAGGGGTCACGCCTGGCTCTGTCTGCACTCTGGAATCACTTCTGGCAGTGCTCGGGGGACCCTGTGGGATGCTGGGAATCGAACCTGGGTCGGCCGCGTGCAAGGCAAACGCCCTCCCCGCTGTGCTATTGCTCCAGCCCCTTTCTTGTCTACTTTTGCAAAAAAATTTTCTTGATTACACACTGCTTTATTTTGTTTGTATTTTCTGTGTAGCGGTTTTGCTGAAATATGTAGTCTTGTGTCTTCCTGTGCGGTATAGTCTCATATGACTTTCTCTGTTCTGTTTGTTAATTTTCCTGGCCAAACAAGTTGGCACATGGAGGGGCCGGAGCGATAGTACAGCAGGTAGGCATTTGCCTTGCACTTGGCGGACCCAGGTTTGATCCCTGCCATCCCATTTGGTCCCCCGAGCACTGCCAGGAGTCACCCCTGAGCGTCGCTGAGTGTGGTCCAAAAACAACAACAGAAAATGGCCACATATAACAGGCACCTATGAAATATTGGTGGAATAAGTGTGCACTGTGTGTGTGTGTGTGTGTGTGTGTGTGTGTGGTAGCGGGGATTGAACTGAGGGCCTCACACATGCATAGCAGGTGCTCGAGAACAAAACACCTTCAAATGTAAGTAAACATAAAATCCACATTGTAAATAAAGAAGTGGAAGTTTTGGTGATACACTCTGTGGGGGGCGGCAGAGGGAGACAGAGCAAAGGACTAGGCGTGTGCTCTGCAGGTGCGGGCCCCTGAGCACCGCCAGGTGTGACCCCGAAACAAACCCCCAAAATGGATAGACGTAGTTTTGTGTGAATAAAGATGAGCTCATTGCTGGATTATTATTTTCCTTTTGGTTTTGGGGCCACACCTGGTGGTTCTCAGGGGTTACTCCTGTCTCCATGTTCAAGGATCACTTGTGGAGGGACTGGGGGGGGAGTTGCCAGGGGTCTGATCCAAGGCCAATCTTTTGCAGATATCCCGTCTCCATCTCCAGTTGCTTCATTCTGATGAGAGCTCTTTTTTTTTTTTTTTTTCCTTTTTGGGTCACACCCGGTGGTGCACAGGGGTTATTCCTGGCTCATGCACTCAGGGATTACTCCTGGCAGTGCTCAGGGGACCATATGGGATGCTGAGAATCGAACCCAGGTCGGTTGTGTGCAAGGCAAATGCCCTACCCACAGTGCTATCGCTCCAGCCCCTGATGAGAGCTTTTCTGAGGGGGCTGGTTTGGGCCGTACCTGGTTGTACTTGGATATTATTGGTGCTTGGGAAGCAGGTGGTTTTGGGGATCAAACTGGAGTCAGCATCTTAACACATGTGCTATGTGCCAGACCCTCGGAGTCGCTTTTCAGAGTTGGCAAATTAATCGTGTGTTTTGATTTTTATTTTTCATTTTTATTTATTTATTTATTGGCTTTTTGGGTCACATCTGGCGATGCACAGGGGTTACTCCTGGCTCTGCACTCAGGAGTTACTCCTGGCGGTGCTCAGGGGACCACATGGGATGCTGGGAATCGGCCACATGCAAGGCAAACACCCTACCCGCTGTGCTATTGCTCCAGCCCCTATGTTTTGATTTTTATCTTTAAAATTTTTTTAATTGGCGGGGGTTATTTCTGGCTTGGTGTGAAGGGGCCCCCCTGGCTTGGTGCGGGGGTCTGGGTGCAGTCCCAGGGTTTGAACCAGGCTTGTAGCAGTAGCTCATGCCAGGCGAGCGTCTCAGTCTTTGTACTGTTTCTCCTGCCCTAATTTTATTTAACTTTAAATGATTTCAGTAATGTTTTTAGGGGCTGGAGAGATAGGGAGGGCGCTTGCCGTGCACAAGACAAGGTCAGGTTCGCTCCTTCGAACCCCTTCTGGTCCCCTGAGCCCCGTCAGGAGTACGCCCTTGAGCACTGCTGGGCGTGGCCCCAAAATCGAAGAAACAAAACCGTTTTCGCAGTAACACAGCGTTGTTGCTTTATGCTCATGCCGCTCTTACCCTGTGTGTATGTGTGTTTTTTGCTCCCGTGTGAGCTCCTCCTCAGACATGTGTCATTCTCTCCCTCTGTTTTCTCGCCGCTGGGGCGTGAGCGAGGGCACGGTTCTGCAAAGGAGCCGAGTGTTCGGCTCAAATCTTTGTAACTAGTTTGTGACAGAGGTAGGTCACCATTTCCAGGGCTTGTAACATACCAGGTTATTCAGAGGTGGATGTCTCACCTTGAAAACAGAAAGTGCCGGTATTGCTAGTTAAAGCGTTCTAGTTTGAGCCACCATTTAATTTTTTTTTTTTCCCCGTTTTGGGTCACACCTGGCGATGCACAGGGGTTACCCTTGGCTCATGCAGTACTCAGGAAGTACTCCTGGCGGTGCTCAGGGGACTCAAGGGGATGCTGGGAATCGAACCCGGGCCGGCCGCGTACAAGGCAAACGCCCTCCCCGCTGTGCTGTCGCTCCAGCCCCCACCATTTGATTCTTGAGCCTTGCCCGTTGGCCCTCCCTGCCGCTTGCCTAGTAGCTGCTGGGTTCACGTCACGAACTTTGTTTGCGATCTACTCTTTACTTTAGGTCTCTCAGTTGCTGTTCCCAGCTCAAAATTATTTTCCTTCCACTTACCTGTTTGAGGGCTGGAGTGATAGCACAGCGGTAGGGCGTTTGCCTTGCACACTGCCAACATGGCGACCCGAGTTCGATTCCTCTGCCCCTCTCGGAGAGCCCGGCAAGCTACCGAGAGTATCTCGCCCGCACGGCAGAGCCTGGCAAGCTACCCGCGACGTATTCGATATGCCAGACACAGTAACAACAAAGTCTCCAATGGAGATGTTACTGGGCCCGCTCGAGCAAATCGATGATCAACGGGAGGGCCTTTACCTTTACCTTACCTGTTTGAGATCCAGATAACTTTTTGGTCACTTCAAGAACATGTTAGGAGCTGGAGTGATAGCATAGCGGGTAGGGCGTTTGCCTTGCACGTGGCCAACCCAGGTTCGATTCCCAGCATCCCCTATGGTCCCCCGAGCACTGCCAGGGGTAATTCCTGAGTGCATGAGCCAGGAGTAACCCCTGTGCATCGCAGGGTGTGATCCATAAAGAAAAAAAAAAAACATGATAAAGATTTTAATTTGGACAAAAATGGCTTCTTGTCAATAATCTTATTATTAATTGTGTGTTCGTGCCCCCAGAGGTCACTCCCAGGGCCTCACACGTGCAAGACCACTGCTCTGGTTTTGGTTGTTGTTTCTTTTTTGTTTGGGGCCACACCCGGCACTGCTCCTGACTTTGTACCCGGGCATCACTGCCAGGGGGCTTCAGTACCGTGTGGGATGCAGGGGATCGAACCCGGGTGGGCCGCTGTGCTGTCGCTTTTCCCCCAGTGCTCTGTTTCTAAACTCGATCCAGCCCCCGCTGCTGGTGTTTGAAGGTAACCTGGCTCTGGTTCGTTGCCAGGAGTGTTGTGATTCGGGGCGCCCAGGAAGTGCCGTCAGTTTCTCTCACTAGTCCCAGCTTTAATGCTCTTGGAGGGAAGCCCGCGGGACAGGTAGCTCTGAAGTGAAGATACTTGTATTAAAGATCCGTCGGAGTGAAGAGACCCCTATTTATAGCGTTTCACACGCTGTCACTTCGGTCCAGGAGAGATTGCTGGTTCTCACTCAGACATTGATTTTTCAAACAGGTGGAAGACTTTTTGAATCTGCCCACAAACCTGTCCGGATTTCATGTTTGTATCGACAAAGGGACTTTCGATGCCATCAGCCTTAGCCCCGACAACGCGGCGGAGAAGAGGCAACAGTATGTGAGGGCCCTGGGCCGGGCCCTGGCCGGGGGAGGTTTCTTCCTGGTCACCTCCTGCAACTGGACCAGGGAGGAGTTGCTGAATGAATTCGGTCAAGGTAAAGCACTATGTTTAAATGTACACGTACCCTCCGATGAAATGGAATTAAATAGAGTTTTCCGCCCCGCTTGGCATTGGAGTAGTCCTTTTGGGAAAAGAAAAAACTTGCGGGATTTGCCTTCTTTCTTTCTGTTAATAACCTTAATGGTATTTTTGCCAGTATTCATGCCCTGTAGCACTGTCCTCCCGTTGTTCATCGATTTGCTCGAACGGGCCCAGTAACGTCTCCGTTGTGAGACTTGTTACTGTGTTTGGCATATCGAATACATCACGGTGGCTTGCCAGGCTTTGCCGTGCGGGCGAGATCCTCTCGGTAGCTTGCCGGGCTCTCCGAGAGGGGCGGAGGAATCGAACTCGGGCCGGCCAGGTTGGCCGCGTGCAAGGCAAACGCCCTACCCGCTGTGCTCTTGCTCCAGCACCCAGTATTTATGGGCCAATAAAAGTCAAATTCTTTTCATTTTTTTCCATGAGGATGTAATCTGTCTTTGAGAGAATCCGACAAATCCCCTATCTCCTGGTCTGGTCATTTGGGCTTTCCTCTTTGTTGCTGATTTTGGGCACCGGGCGGTGCTCAGGGCTGACTCCTGCTTGTGCTCAGAGGTCGCGCCTGGCGGGACTCGGGGGACCGTGTTTGGTGCCTGGGGTAGTTCCGGGGTTGCAGCACGCGAGGAGAGTGCCCTGCCCCTGCCCCTGCCCCGTTTCTCCAGCTGCAGCGAGGAACGTCTTACCTGCTGATCCACGTGGGCATTTGGGGAAAATACCTTGAGAATCTGCACTTTCTTTATGTGCTACTTTTTCCCCTTCAGACTCATTCTCAGATTTGGTTGTTTGACAGTTGTGCTCCATCCCGGGTCGTGGGCTGTTCCCCGGGGGTCCTCAGGGCTCCCGGCAGGGCGTGCTCTGCAGCCCACGGAGCGGGGGACATTTTCAGGGTGGGAGACGAGTGAGCAGAGCTCCGGGTCGACGGCTGGGCCTGGCACCGCGGTGGTCTCCAGCTGAGCTGGGTGGAGGAGCACTGGGCGTGTGGAGGAGCACTGGGCGTGTGCCGGATCACCAACGGCCGGGCTCTGTTTGGCCAGAGAGGGGCAGGCCGGTCCCAGGGGACCCTGCCCGGGAGTGCTGGGCGGCGGGGCTATGGGGAGAGCTGAGGGGTGGGCTCTGGCTTCGCAGGAACCCCTGTGGCTCATCGTCTTTTCTTTACGCCGATGCTAGAGCTGTCTCCTGGTGAGGGCCGTGTCCGTCGTCTCCTCCCCGTTCCTGAGCTCCAGTTCTAACACACGCTCCCGTTACACTGAGGGCGGGCTCCCCTGTGGGCTTCAGATGCAGGTGTCCCCCGGAACCCCGGGCAAAAACACATTCGTCTGTCTTTGCACACGAGGAACAGACTTTAGCTTGGACCTTGGCGGAAAACAGAGCTGCTACATTCGTCCTTGAACTTCTGTTCACTTTCAGAGCTTAAGGCCGCGTTTAAGCTGTTTCCACCTGAAATCCTTGTATAGCGGGAGGGATCTGTTCTGGGCGGGCAAGAAGGTGCTTTGGCCTGGGGGCCGTGACGCTGGCAGAGTGCGTGGGAGAGTGACCTGTGGGAGCTGCCCCTCCCCGCGGGGGGCGGGGGGCGCAGCAAAGGATGAACCTGGCTTTCCACATCTCTGAAGCTCCCTTCCTTAGTTGAAAATGTTCATCCATCTGAAATGGACCGTGCGTATTTTTCCCTTGGAAACCTCGTGTCACGTTCTTTGTTTTGGCGAGGAGAACCCTGGTTGGCTGCATGCAGACCTGCCCCTGTGCTGTCGCTCCACCCCTCCCCCTCCCCAGCCCTTTTTTGGGGCCAGACCCGGCTGTGCTCAGGACTCACTCAGGGGTCACTCCTGGGCGGTGCTTGGGGACCATGCAGGGTTCCAGGGTCCTGGGGAGCTGACCCTGGTGGGCCCTCCCCACGTCCTGCCTCCCTAGCCCCTCACAGACGCACCTTTATGCTCCCGTTGTTTAACTGTCGGTAGTGTGTGTGTGTGTGCGTGTGGTGGCTTGGTGATCCCTGTAGGGCACCGGGGCAGTGCTCACCGCAGGCCTGCACAGGGGTGAGTGCTGACGAGGGCAGGCCTGGAGGGAGGGTGGGAGGGAAGCAGTAGTGGGATGGAGGGAAAGCTCTTTCTGGCAGTTTCTTTTTTCTTTCTTTCTTTCTTTTTTTTTTTTTTTAGTGAAGCAAGATAGTTTTTATTTATTTATTTATTTATTTATTTTTGCTTTTTTCTTTGGGTCACACCCGGCGATGCGCAGGGGTTCCTCCTGGCTAGTGCACTCAGGAATCACTCCTGGTGGTGCTCAGGGGACCCTGTGAGATGCTGGGCATCGAACCCCTGTCGGCCGCGTGCAAGGCAAACGCCCTCCCTGCTGTGCTATCGCTCCAGCCCGATAGTTTTTATTGATCGAAGTATTCTTAGGTGTGAGAGGAGAGAAAGAGAAGTACCAGTTCAATCGAGAAATTGGGGGTCTTGATCGATGGTACAGCGGGGAGGGCATTTGTCCTGCACACAAGTGCCAGGTTCAAACCCCAGCACCCTGTAGGATCCTCTGAGTGCAGAGGCTCCTTGATTGCAGAGTCAGGAGTCAGTCCTGAGCTCCGTCGGGGGTGGGACCCCCAGAGGAACAAAACAGAGAACAAACACGGCTTCCCTACAGTGCCAGGAGGAAGCGCAGAGACAGGCCGGGGAGACGTGTTCTAGGGGGTGAAGGACGAGCCGCAGCTTCTCTCTTGCCTCGTCTGATTCTTGTTCAGTTCAAGAAGTGAAAAAACGCGATAGAATCGAAAAGTCCAACACGAAAGGAGAGTTTTCCACCACTCTGTGTTTCGTGTTTTGTTTTTGCCACTCCCGGTGGCAGGCGACTGGCCATGCGCTGCGGGCAAGACCCCCCCCTCAGCTCCGGGCGGTCCTGGGCCTCTGCCGCTGTTTCCAGGGCTCTAAGGACGTGAGGAACCCCCAAATTTCTCTCACCTCGGGACTCGGGCCCTAATAAAAGAACTTGATTTTTTTTGTCTGGCAGGATTTGAACTTTTTGAACAGCTGCCGACGCCCAAGTTCAGTTTTGGAGGCCGATCTGGGAGCAGCGTGACGGCCTTGGTGTTCCGGAAGACGTGACGAGCCCGGCGTGGCAACGCAGTGAGCCCGCAGCCGTGGCACGGGCAGGTGCCACAGAGTTAGTGAGTCCCAGGAGACACCTGTCACATCGATACGAGGGCTTGGTTTAAAAAAAAAAAAAAAGCAAAACAGCAATAATGAGCATTTAATGGATTGGGCTTACATTTTCTTTTGTATTTAAAATGCATTTTTCATTTTCTTTTTTTTTTTTTAAACAATATCCCATAACTGTTGAGCCTTTGGAAGGTTGGAAACGGGCAGTATGGCGAGCTGTGCTCTGTGTTCTTGCGTGAGCACGGCTGTGGGTGGAGACCCAGCCCGACCTCTTTCAGGGCTGCAGTCAGCAGACGCCACGGAGCCCATAGCGTTTCCTTCCTTACGTGAGTTGTGGGTCGTAGATTATCATTTCCGGTTACATGGTGACAATTAAAAGCGTTTTTATACCTGAGCACTCCTTTCTCTTCTTGCGCTGACTTAAACCAGATGCATCCATTGGTTCATCAGAAATACGGAGTTTCAGGGCTGGAGCGACATCACGGCGGGGAGGGCGTTTGCCTTGCACGCGGCCAACCCGAGTTCGATCCCCGGCATCCCATAGGGTCCCCCGAGCACCGCCAGGAGTCATTCCTGAGTGCAGAGCCAGGAGGAACCCCTGAGTATCCCCGGGTGAGACCCAAAAAGCCAAAAAAAAAAAAAATACGGAGTTTCTATTTTGCGGCCACTGTTTACGTGCGGAGGGGTGATGGGGAGCAGAACCCGGGGTAGGGATGGACGGTGCAGAGTGCCAGCATGATGTCCTTCTCTTGTTCCGGCATAAGCAGAGGTGCCAGGCATCGTGCCCCTGCCCCGGGGGTCTGCCTCCCTCAGCTCCAAGGTAGGTCCCAGCCCCGTGAGCCCTTCCCCGGGCCTGCTTGTGCTGCCTTAGTTGTGGAGTGCTCCGGAACGTTCTGGAAGTTTGATGACTTATTCGATTCTGTGACAGACTTCGAGGACAGGGTGGAGCCAGATTCTTCCCTGGGTTTTTCGCTGAACCTCATTCCCTGCCCCCGGCCTGCTCTGCGTCCCTGGTGATGGGATTCAGCCTTCCCAGCACTGCCATGCGCTTTGGGGTCCGGAACTGACCCCTTGGCTAGGGAGTGACCCTCGGGTGCTCCGGCACCGTCCGTCAGCGAGCCTGGCTGTGAGGGTGCTGGGAAATGAGTCCTCCTTTATGGCCGCTCTCTCCCTCCTGCTCAGGATGTTTCACAGGAAGAGATACAGTCACGTTTCATGTCACCTGTCCTGGGGCTCTATTTTATTTTTGTTTATTTATTTTTTTGCTTTTTGGGTCACACCTGGCTCTGCACTCAGAAATTACTCCTGGCAGTGCTCAGGGAACCAAATGGGATGCTGGGAATCGAACCCGGGGTGGCCAGGTGCAAGGCAAATAAATGCCTTACCCACTGTGCTATCGCTCCAGCCCCAAGGCACTCTAGTTTAATACTGAGTCACAAGGTGAGTGTTTTTTTTAAAAGATTTGTATATTTTGGTTTTTGAGACACATCCGGCAGTACTCAGGGATTACTCCTGGCGCTGCACTCAGGAATCACTCCTGTTGGTGCTCACGGGGACCCTACAAGAGACCGGGGATTGAACCCTGGTCAGCTGCACGCAAGGCAAGCGCCCTACTACCTGCTGTACAATGTCTCCAGCCCCAGATGAGGGTTTTGTTTTTTTTTTTTTCAAAGAGAAGATTTTCAACTTTTGGGCGCTGGTTGAGTTAAAAGTAGAACAAACATTTTGGTTAGCCCAGGCAACTAGTAATAGAGTAAGTCAAGTACTACACTGTTTTCTTTTTCGGGGTGGGAGTAAGGGTCCTTTGCTTAGCCTCACTGTCAGCCAGCCGTAAAGGTCACTGCCTGCCTGGCACAAGGTCACCAAAGGCATCGCGTCCACTTGGAACTCTGATAACATGTTTTGAAGCGCTTTAACCTGGGGAGGCAGGATTCCTCCACCAAAGCAGTGCTCGGGGGTCCTGGGCTCCCACCAGCAACTCCTGGCCAGCTGGGCAGGCAGGTTGATTTGTGGCAAATGCCTGAGGATGCTGTACTGTCCAGGACGCGTGCTGGGGGCCCCTGGGCCTGGAAGTGCTAGGGGGACCCTGAGGTGATGGGGTGGGATTGTTCTGCCGCCTCCCAGCTCCGGAAACGCCCTAATGTTCACGGGATAAGTAGTAATTCATCGCATATGACTTCAACTTTTAAAAATTGTTCCGTGATTTGTCTTCCTTTTTCCACATCACTGTTAGTTGATTTCAGAGATGATGAAAGTATATTGGTTGGGGATTGTCATTGAAAGGCAGGTGCTGTTTGAGAGCACTGTTGGACAGAAAAGGGGCTTCAGGTGTCGGGGGGTTCGCTCCAGCTTGGGGTGGCTCCAGCCGCTGCCCAGGGCTTACTTGTTTCACGTCCAGACAGGAAGGGCGCTGAGGGGCGGGGTGGGGGGGCAGGCCAGGGACCGGGAGCTGGTGCTGGGGTCTGGAAAGGGGACTGTCCTCTTCTCATCGGCGTGATCTACAGGAAGCCAGCCTCTTAGAGGTAAAAATCGCGAAACAGGCCCAGTAACTGTCCCCAGTGCCGTGGTTGTTGAGAGCAGCCTTGCTAAGTCCGACTGGGTCCGGGACTGTGGTGATGGGCTGTGGCCGGGAGCTGTTGGCCCACGAAGGCCGCGTTCTCTGGGTAAGAAGTTGGAATTGTGATTCCGTTTCTCTGAAGGGGCACTCTTATTTTGTGGAAACTTGTTTGAAATTCAAACAAGGTTACTCTCTGGAGCCAGCTCCCAGTGACCTGTTTGTCTTAGGTTAAGGGCGTGTATGTGTGTGTGTGTGTGTGTGTGTGTGTGTGTGTGTGTGGTATGAGACAGGTGTCTCTAGGAGTCTGCCAGGCTGGTGGCAAGGGTGTGTGTGTGTGTGTGTTAGGTGTCTCTAGGAGTCTACCAGCTCCCAGTGACCTGTTTGATGGGAAGGGCGCATGTGTGTGTGTGTGTGTGTGTGTGTGTGTGGTGTGGTATGAGACAGGTGTCTCTAGGAGCCTCTGTGTGTGTGTGTGTGTGTGTGGTATGAGACAGGTGTCTCTAGGAGCCTGTGTGTGTGTGTGTGTGTGTGTGTGTGTGTGTGTGTGTGTGTGGTGTGGTATGAGACAGGTGTCTCTAGGAGCCTGTGTGTGTGTGTGTGTGTGTGGTATGAGACAGGTGTCTCTAGGAGTCTGCCAGGCTGGTGGCAAGGGTGTGTGTGTGTGTGTGTGTGTGTGTGTGTTAGGTGTCTCTAGGAGTCTACCAGCTCCCAGAGTGACCTGTTTGACTGATGGGAAGGGCGCACGTGTGTGTGTGTGTGTGTGTGTGCGCGTGCGTGCAAGTGCGTGCATGTGTGTGTGTGTGCTGGGGGTGCGTGTGTGTGTCTGTGCATGTGTGTGCATGCGTGTGCGTGTGTGTGACAGTGTCCCTAGGAGTCTCTTCCAGGCCAGCCAGGAGAAGGCGGCCCGCGCGTGACTGAGAGCCCCACGGTGGGCGTCAGGGAGAGCGGACCAGGGTTCAGGACCTTTTCCGTCAGCAGGAGCCGGAGATGCCCTGCGAAGGGGGAGCCCGTGGGCATGTTTGAGAAGCACTTAATGGCGGAAAATGAATGCTAATTTATTCTGCATCCATACCACGCAATTTGTTAGAAAAGTGAAAGAATAGTTTGAAATTCTTCGGTCAATGGATGGATTCCGATGTTAGGGCCATAGAAATGAAACTCGACATTAAGCAGACAAAGGCCCAAGCCCACGGGCTACGTAACTGCTGAATAAAGCGAGCTCCACAATGGAACCCTGAAAAGCAAGCGGTAAGCAGCCTAATGAATGATTGAATATGACCTTCGCAAAATCCCCGAGCGTTGCTGAAAGATCTTTCATTTCCAGCCTCGATGTCAAGATGGGCTCCAGTAACCAGGGAAAAAAGGGAGCCTGAGTCGGTGCTTACTTTTAAAACATCTTTTCAAAACGCAGTGCTTTAGATGAATCGTTATGAAAAGGGCTTCTCCGACAAAATTTTGAGCTGTCACTGTGTGAGCCTGTAGTTCAGACGGAGGCAGACCGAATGAAAAAGGTTGGAATAATTCCCCAGACATGAATGTATCAATATTCCGCTTTTATGGCGTAGAACTTCAAAAACGGGGGGGGGGGGGGGGGGGTGTATCGCTGACAATGTACTTTTGTCATGCTGATCCTACGGTACAAAAGATTTGTGACCAAGAGATCAACTGTGCCTTGAAGTATTTGCAAATTAGTTACCTAATTTATTTAAAGGAAGATTTGGGAAAAAAAAAATAAAAATAAAAAACCTTCCTCCCTCCGCCCCCGCCCCATTTTTTTAGGTAACCCTTCCAGAAGAAGTGTTAACTGCGTCTGTTTTATTTAAAATATATTTTTGTTTGTTCTGGAAATGACGGCTATCTTCGTGAACGATCTTTATTATTGTGCGTGCTTCTAGCAGCTCTCAGAGAAGGCGAATCGGACACGGTGGGTTTTTTTTTTCCCCCAAGTACCTAAAAATGGCCCCAGGAACCTGTGCTTAGCAGATGCTGGTATCGTGGGGGAGATTTTTAAGGAGGAAGCAGACTGTGCCCTGTGTTTGTCAGTCTTCATTAGCATACGGACCGCAGGAGAGGGAGAGGTTATTATTATCAGGGTGGCAGTTGGGGGAGAACCCCCTCCGCCCCATCCCCCGCTTCCCAGGGGAGAGTCGAGGAAGGGGTGTAGCGGAGCGGGAGTGGGTGCCGCCTCAGACAAGATGTCAATCCTTTGTTCCCATCTAATTTTAGTACATCCTGGCTGGAAAAAAAAACGTTAAGCTGAAAAATGTTAGGATGGCTTCCAGGGTGGGGGGGGGGGGAGTCGAGGAAGAGAGGGGGGAGGAAAGTGCAGTTCATACCCCATATCCGGTGGCGCCCAGCCCTCCCCCCACGTTGGAGTTTGGTCCTGGAGCGACTCAGTTTTGTCCTTCCCTGCTCTCAGCAGGAAGCCCGGGAGGAGTGTGAAGAGGGAATCGAATGAGAGGGCCGTGGGCAGAATTGCAAGGAAAGGTCTAGAACGGGGAGACTGTCGCTGCCTTCTTCAGAGCAG